CTTGTGTGTACAATGCTCATAGTATGAGTTGACATGTATATACATATTCCATCAAAGATATAGGTGACAGCAGCACGAATAGAGCTGTTAATATAGATCTGAAAAAATAAAGATGAAGTATAAACATCAAGCATGCTTAATATGTCCCTATACATAAGGCTGTTATTCATAAAAATAGCACTAAATCTGATGGAATTAATTTTTTCTTCTTTTTTGGTGTTTTTAATTTAACACGTCATTTATCTTAATTACGAATAGTTTTTTTACAACCACCAGTCATATAAACACGCAGCTTGTAATTCTATTCGATGGCTTCTCATGAAATTCTCGTCATTAGCTTCGAAATGTAAATGCGAATAGTATTATGTTTACATTGCTAGTGAATAAGTTTTTTTTATTGCATCATGAACATTAAGCAAGGACGGAAAAAAGTTAATTAAAATTTTAATATTTTTCCCTTGAGCATGAAAGGAAATTATTGAAAGTTGTGGGTACAACAAACTACTAACATTGACACAATTTCAAAGAATATCCTATTCTATATCATGTTTTAATGTTCAACTTTCCCACTTCGGCACGTGACTTTAGAATCTCATTTACGTATTATTCACCGACTTCCCTAATTTTGTAAAAGTTATTAACTGAACGTATATCACAGGGATAAAGAATTATGAAGCAAACAAAGCTTACCAAATCAACACCTAAAACAATTGGATTTGTAACGTATGTTCTATGTTTAATAATATAACCAGTTAAATAAATGTCATTTCGGGTCTTTTCATTTTTTTCTTACCAGAAGCATCATAAAATCCGCAATTCCACCCTCAATTTTATGTTACATCCCTTATTTATTTTTTTCACATTCATTCAATTTAATGTTTTTATTATTTATTATCTTTGGATATCAACGCAAACGGATTTGTACAAATCAAAATTGTTTAAATTATATTAATTGATTTAATCGTTGTCTTATTTTTGTAAAACTGGTGCCTCAGAATTAGGAAATCAAAAATATCAACTTCTACGCAAATGTGTAAGCCATTAGTTTTACGAAAAATACACAATAGTTCAATTTAAGGGTTTAGGTAGAAGTATTTCAAGGCAAGGCTTTTGTAGGCTACAGGCAGCAATGTCATCAAAGAAATGGTTCATATCCCACTATAAAACTGTAGATCTAGGTTTGAGTGCAGTTGTTTGGCGCATCCACACTCATTAAACGCTCTAGAGCACCTCTGAATCAGAATTGATCTGCATCGTCAAAGGTTTTTTTTATGTTTTCTACGTTTGATTAATTTTAAAAATAAATTAAACACACACGTGACCAAAGTGGAATGTATAAATATATTACTCCCAAGCATCAATTTTGTTGCATTTAAAATGCAAATAACTTTTTAGAGATAAACAATACCAATGAACATGAAATCAATATTTATTTATCAAAATTAAAACATCAATTGAAGGCTTAGTAAGTTAAATAATTTTGCGAAAAGAAGCAACTTACTACTATCAAACGCCATAAAAATTATTAAAAATTGGTTTTTTGTATTGCTTTTTCTGCTTGAAAAATTATTCTTCAATTCACATTGAAGACACTGTTAATAGAGCTTACAGAAAATAAAGAACATCGATTTGTTTCATTATTAAATGAAGGACTTTTTAATAGTTAAGAAATAATATTTTCTTTAAGCCAAAGCTTTAAATGTTCACCACCAGATTACCCTTGATGTTAAATTAAACAATCCTAACACTAAAAACAGAGTTCTAAGAGGGAACTTGAAGTGTAGCGGGAGAAATAGGAACGAATGCTACAAGATTACCTTATAATGGAATATTGTCAGAACGGACCTGAAATGTATCACGTCACGCCCACAGAAGATTGAAACGAGAGCCTGAATTTAATCGAAACCTAGATTTGAAGATTAGAAGCTTGATTCTACGTCACCCATAGTGATATGAAATATATCACTAATCAATGTAAAAAGTAAAACATGTATATGTAAATACTAATTCTTCCGGACGGTAACGTCGACAAATAAATAATAATAATAATGGGCAATGATAATGGAAATAACTGAAATAAAAATGAAAATATCATTTTCAAATTTTTAAATATGTATTACTCCTTTTAATAATTTTGTTTCAATGAGAACCACTGAATTAGATTGTGAATATATATATATTCAATGATTTTTTTTATAAATGTCCATAAATTGAAACATGACTTATTTTTGCTTGTCTTGATTTTATTTTAGCAGCATTGTTATAGATGGATATTTTGTGTATTATTTGCATATGAAAATATTGCTCTCCTTATCGGATGTTGGTAAATGATTTATCTACTTTTTTTCCATTATTTTACAGGGAAGCTTATCAGAACACAATATGGAGAGTAGATGGAAAAAGAGTTGATCCAGAACACATGTGAAAGCCAAATATATTAATGATCTATTTTTAAAATATTTTTTAACTTCTTCTTCTTCACTCCACAACAATCGACTGTACCAGACATTCTGGAAACATATTTTTATGATCGGAATTTCCTTAAGTATCCCAATATTTCCTAACACATAACATCAGGTAGAAAATATGTTCAAATCTTTACAAAAAACATTTTAACTTTAATTTATGCAAAAACAAAGTGCAAAGATTCTATGAAATGTATACAAATCAGTTAAATATATTTACCTGATGTGATGGAATTGCAGTACTTGCTTGTAATTCTAAATGTGTGCTGTAAATTTGTTGAGTTGATTCCTAACGAAGTATTGCCGAAAAAATAATTTTGGAATATTAGCACAAGTCCTTCAAGAAGCGCAATTTAAGTTTAACAAATTTTTAAAAAATAAGATAAACGCTACTTAAAGTTAAAATTTAATTAAATTTGATAAAAATGCAATTTTATATTAATAAAGTTTTTTTGTATTGAACATGTGTCAAAATATTATGAGTTTCCATTTACCACTCAAACCTACACTTACAAAGCAATAAGAATTTTTATGATATTTTTGTTATTCTTACTCCCTTTTTTCACAGCACATAAAACTGCATAAAACATGAATAAGTAATATGCAGTAAATTATGTAAATTTTTTAATTTCTTATTTTTTCTTTTTTTCTTTCGGCTCTTTTCAGTATATCTGATTTTTATCTGATTAAGATACAAGAAATTATTCGGTATTATCTACCAATAATCATTTTATTAAAATCAATTTACACTCTTTTTATTGAAATTATATTAATTAAAAAGAATCAACCAGTTTAAATAATGAAGGTATTGTACAGTCACGTTTAATAATGTTTAAAATTTATTAGAATAAAAAAAAAAGTGTTAAAAGTTTTCCAATTTTTTTTTCTTGAACTAAAGAATTTCAGTTGGAATCCAATAAATTTAAAGACGACCAAAACTTTAGGAAGAACGGTAAAAATAAAGAACCATTTTTATTTACTCTGATATGTCAAAAATTATTGAAATGAATGATGAACGGTTGTAGGAGGCTCGAGCACATTATTAGACATTTTAAAAAATTTGTACAATGCAATTTTGAGTAAACAGAAAGAAATCTGTCTTTACATAGCTCAATAAATAAAAAAAAAGCATGAAAAAATGAAGCAACTGTTAAGAAAAAGTCCATTGAGGTTCCGGAACAACATTTTTCTTTTTGCACAATCAACTTCCGTATAATTGTAGAAGAATCTTGAGACGGAGCTCTTTGAAGTTGTCCAAAACATCTGATATTGTTGATGATGGTGCTTTTTATACTAAACATAGTCTAACAATAAGCCAAATAATAACAATAAATTTTACAAAATAAAAGAAAACAAAAAAAAAGAAGCAAAAATAAAAATCAATAAAATGAATAAAGTTTTAATTTTATTTGAAACGAATGGATTATAAAGGTGTGATTAATGTAACTAGAAAAGCAAACATTAATTCTATTAACGATTTAAAAATACCTTATACCTACACTCATAAAAAAAAATTGATAAATTTTATTAAAAATGTATGAAAAAGTTTAATAAAAGTTTATAAAAATACATCTTGATAACTTTTACTAAAATTTGATAAGGGTTATTAAAAGTTTTGGTTTTACAAAATTGCATTCAAATTTTACAAAACTGTTAAAATTTTAATAATTTTCTTACTAAACTTTAGTAAAAAGTTATTAAGATGTATTTTTATAATTTTTATTGAATTTGTTCATGGATTTTAGTAAAAAGTCATTAAAATTTCTTGGATTATTTTTTTTACAAAAACAGCTTTATAGTATAATTAATTTATAGTATGGAGCTTTTTCAAGTCTTAACTAAAATGCTTTCTCAAAGCTTAAGACTTTGCATGATTTTTGGCACTTAATGTGCCTCATAAGAAACTTATAATTTTATATGACTTTTTATGAGAACTAAGACATTCTTTTGTATAAGTCATTTCTTGGAGCGTTTGTGAAGTATATAAAATATATGAAAACCTTACAATTTTGGAAACCTACAACAGTTTTACAACGCTGTAGAATTTTAAAAACTTTTATTAAAATTTGATAAGTTTTATTAAAAGTTTGATAAGGTTTACTAAAATTTTAATAATTCTCATTAAAAACTCTTTAATAAGATTTTAGTAACAAATTATTAAAAATATTTTTATGAGTGTATACAGATTTTGCAGTATTTTGAAAAGTTTAAAAATTATATAAACCATAACTCTTCCAAAAACAGTTAATTATCATGTATGGAAGTAAAAATAATTAAAGAAAATTTTGCAGATTAATAAATTTCTAGATTTTTAATTATGGGAATGGTAATGAGGGTTCTCGACAGCTTTTCATAATATTAAAATTCAGAAAGACAGAATGGAAAACCAAGTTGAAAAAGCTGTTCGAACGAGGACGAAATGATGAGAGAGAAAGAAGAAGAAGAAATAAATGATGCATGTAAAGTGTCCTCAATGAAATCACGCCCAGTTGTTTATAAGTGTTGATGCTGATTGGCTGAAAATTTTCCTTCTCTCTTTTTCTCTTATCTTCCTATCCTTTACGTCGCCCTTCATTGCAATGAAAATTGTATTGTATGTTTGTTATACTTTTATGTTACTTTATGTTCTCTCTTCGATAGTTCGAGACAGGCAACGAGTTTTGAGTGCGACTGAGTGAGGGCTAAAGAAAGCCACTTAAAAAAGAAGAAAAAAAGAAAAAAACGAACGTCCTTCTTAAAGTGTACTTCAGTGAAGTGAATTGATTTGAAGTGAAAGCACATGAGGCAGAGCATATCAGCTAAAATTGTAGAATCTTAAAAATCTATCTGAGGACTTGAATTAACTGTTAAGTCATCATTAGACTATAGATATATTGTGATGTGTTAAAGATTTTATTTTAATTTAATAAAATATTTCGATGATAAGAACAGAAGGAACATCAATGAATGAAGTGAATAAAACATTATTTAAAGAAGAAATTAAGTGAAATATTGTTGAAAAGAAGTTTAATTTTTTTTTTGAGAAATATCCAGATTGAATTAAAATCATTCAAAGTGGCAAACGAAGTAGAAAAAACATCTTCATCACCAACATTGACCAATAAAGCATTGGATCATTTGGATGAGAAAAAAATTCCAATACAAAAAGATCAAAATTGTGTAAAATTGATTATAAATAACAACAATAATAATAATAATACTATTACGAAAATGCCACCAGCGTCAAGTCCGCCGGCACTGTCAACATGGGCTCCAATTTTATTTCCACCATGGAATCCAACTGGTCTCTTACCAGCTGCTTTTTACCCAGCAGCTCTTAGATCATTACCAAAGTAAGTTTTTGATTAAAATATAAAAAAAAAGAATTCCTTAAAAATCAATCACTTCCAGGTGCTAAATGATGATGTTAATGATTTTAAGCAAAAATTAGCAATATTGTGGGATTTTCCATTGTTCTCGTTTTCGTCATATTTTAGTGCTTAATGCAAAAAGTGTCGATGGATGATGATTAACATAAATTATGAGAATTTATCTCTTTAAATCTTCTCAATTTTTGCTATGCAAATTATCAGTTCTTCATTTTCTATTCTCCTTTTCCTTCACAACTATCTCATCGTCCACCAGATGTTTGTTCTTAAGAAATTCCCAAAAGAAAAATCGGAAATTCCAATCGAAATGAAAAAAAAAAATCTCCTTTAAGAGGAACAAAGAAGAACTGAAGGAACGAAAATGAAATAAAGTGAAGTGAGGCACCTGAGAACATTTAATGGTTGTAACATAAAATTTTTGCATAAATTAAATTCAATATTGAAAAAAGAAATAAATTTTTAGAACGAGAATAAAGGAAAAAAAAAATGCAAATTATGCACTTTTAAAAACTTTTATTATTTTCATTCCTTTCTTCTTCCTCCCATTGTCATGTCACGTACAAAAAAATAACTTTATACTCGAATTCAATTTTACACCTTTTCAAGTGATTTTTCTTGAAAATTTCATCAAATTTCTTTAAACTTTTGCCGACGATCAGGAATGATTTCATTTCCATTTGAATTGCAAAAATTTTACTTAATACTTAAATCAAATTTTCGTCTCATTCACAGTTTTCTTGAAAGCATGAAGTTACCGACATCAGTGAATACAAAGCCGACATCAGGTTTCCATATTTGTGATATTTTAGAATTAAATAAGGACAAAAAGGACGAAAAGCAACCGCAGGATAAAAAATTGGAAAACGAAATAAAACGTGATGATGAAATTGATCAGAATTGTGATGAAGACGATGATTTAGAAATACAAAAAGAGAATTTAAGTATCGAAAGTGAAGAAAATCTTTTGAATGAATCAGAACATGTTGAGAATGTAATGAAACGAAAGCACAGTCAATCCCCAACTAGTCAAAATAATGATAATGAATCTCATAATGGAGATGAGGAATCATCACGAGATTCACATCGAGAAAATAAATCTAAATTAAAAATGAAGCATATAAAGCATAATAAACGAAATGAAAATGTTGAAATTCCACAATACAATAGTTTAGGACATTCAGTATCAACAAATCATCATCAACAACTCTTGAGTGATACTATCCATCAATATTCAAATCATATTTTTCAAAATCATCCCGCAATGCGACCATGGTTTAATCCAAATGGTAAGTTCAATCACATCCTCATTCAATTTCAATTATTGTATTCTAAACTTCCATGAAATTTTGCTTCCATTTTTCGAATTTTAAAAATTTCATGCTTTAATAAAGCACATCAAATGTGATTGTGACGATGATGAATGTTACACAATTTCCACTCCTCTATTACCATTTAATTTGCTTTCTATTGAAGTAGTTCCTGCGGCAGATGTTGAGTTTTTTCAACAACAGTTATGTCGTCCATGTTTTATTATCCTTTATTTACTTAAAACTGTTTTTTAATGCCTTCCATTTCAAAAATCACTACTCAACTCTATTGAATACCTCTTATACATTTCATTTGATATCACTTCCAACTTGAATCGTTTGAAATATTCCCTCCTGTGTATCGGTTTTATTTACTGCATTTCCATCCCATTGTGGCATGTCATTTTTGTGTCTGAATAGCAATTATTAATTGTTTAATTTTTATTGCTCATGATAAATTTGCCTCTAATTGCTTTTGTTGGCTCTTTACATTCATGTACATCTGCATTCTCATGCAGTTTTTATGCAACAAGGAATAAAGTTTCTCTAGTGGAAGAATGAAATGAAAACAGAACAATTAAAATGTATTTTTGTGGGGCGTGTGTAATTTCATTGAAATTTTTTTTTGTCATGTCCATTAATTTTAAAGTCATTTTGGGATGCACTTTTGAGTTTTGAAAGCAAAAAAAGCTCAATATCCGAGTTTAATTTATGATTTACATCCGCTTCTTCCTTCTTTCCGAAAGCATTATTACGTACACGTATCTATTGACTCAGCAAGGCACCGGAACTATCTATTGAATTCAATAAATAATAATTCAGTCTTTCTCTATTGTTCATGAGCATCATTGACTACATTCGAATTGGTATCGAAAGGTGTTTTCTGTTTCATCCTTAAGTTGACTTTTATTTTTTCCTTCTCCTCCTATAACTTCTTTTTCTTCTCACTATGATCTCTTACTATTGTCCGTTTGTACATTGTTGTAAATTTTACTATATCCTCATGTTACCAATACCTTTGAGGGACATGAATGAAACTAAGAAATTTGTATAAATCAAGTTGCAACAGATGTATCAATATCACAAGCAGTTATTTATAATAAATTTCTATTCTGTTTATTTATTTTACAGTTTTTCATCAACATAATCACCATCAACAGCAATCGATCGGTCTAGACAATACGTCACCAATTAGTGAATTAACAGAACTGTCATATGGAAACCTATCTCGTCATCAGTCTGTTTTAGAAAAAAATCGAAAATATTTTCAACATCTACAACAACAGCTTCAACAGCAACAACAAAATGATGTTAAACATATTAGTTCAGCAAAGTCAGAATCATATCCATCAGATACGGAAGAAAATGATCACGTTGATATTGAAGAGGATGGCGAAGGTGGCGAGATAATTGAGATGGACGATGATGATGATCAGCATAGTAATCACGGAAATGGCGATTCTTCAGCATTATCAAGTGGTGGGAATGGAATCATTAATAAAAAGAGAAAACGAAGAGTTTTATTCTCAAAAGCACAAACTTTTGAACTTGAGAGACGATTCCGTCAACAGCGATATCTTTCTGCGCCAGAACGAGAACATTTAGCATCTTTAATACGATTGACACCTACACAAGTTAAAATTTGGTTTCAAAATCATCGATACAAGACAAAACGTGCAGCACATGAAAAAGGAATGGAACATCATCATCATCACCAGAATTTGAATACATCAAGTAATCTCCATTCACCACGTCGTGTTGCAGTTCCTGTTCTTGTTCGAAATGGTCGGCCGTGTCTTGTTGGACCAGGATCACAAAACGCATCATCAATTGCTCCTAATCTACACCATTCAAATTATGCCGCACAAGGATTTCCGATGCTTCACATCAATTCGTATTATTAAATTTAACTTTATATTGTAGTTTAATTGCCCAATATTTTAGGTTTTAGTTTCTATTCAATCATGTATTGTATAAATATGATTTCATTGTTCAATTTAAGCATTCTCACCCATCAATTTAGTTTTTGATGTGAGTAATAAATTAATACTATAGAGTTTTCTATAGAGGAACCGAATGATATATAAAATATATGCGTTTAGGAAAATAATAAAATAAAATAAATTACTAAGTTATTTAAAGAGGATGTATTTAGAAAAGATCAATTTTTATTCTCAAACATTTTTGCTTGTTCAACTGTTTAACACATTTTCAAAAACGTCGTATCTTTACTTTGCCTCAAAAATTTCCTTATTTTAGAAGAATGAAGACAAGAAACGCCACATCTTCAGATACATATTGAACATTTTTTTACTTGCTTTGTTCATGATGAGAGGTGTGTAAAAGTTAAAAGTAAAAACCTTTTTTTACTATTCCTTCTTGTGCGAAACTTGGAAAGAGGAACTAGGAATTGACTTCATCTGTTCCTCCTATTGTTGTTGGTATTTTATTCACATAAGTTTTTCTAACCCCGTAAAAATAACTCACACATGGGTGAATAAAAGAATGATAGTTAACATGAATGAAAAGGCAAAAGGACTCTCCTATGCTCAATAGTGCACTATTGTCATATCTAGCAGGAACATAAATTACCCATTCAATAGGATATTGTTGCAGAACAATAAAAAAGCAAAAAATCTTATTCAATGGACCGGATGCAGTTTTGATAATGCAAGTACGAAAGGAGTCTCATATAGAGTGGAATCTCATTTACGAAATTGACTTTTGACAATTGGTATTTTGATTTTTTCGGATGGTTTGAAGATTTTTCTTATAGTGTATGTATAATCAATTGAATTTGTTGCAATAAGTTACAGGAAGTATTACAAATTTGTACAGGACAGTAATGACTTATGCTTTTGAACTTAAAGAATTTTTCTGAATTTCATCAAAATCAATAAATTGCTTTAAGAAACTATCAGTGACTATCCACGATTCGCATCTAAAAAATTAAATATTTTTAAAAATGATTTAATATAATGCTTCAATCGAATGAAAAAAGGAAGTAATTCGGACATTTTTAATTTCCTGCTTTAAATAACCTAATAAAAGAATTTGAGTTATATAGATACTGTGAGAGGAAATAACAATTGTTGTCTATTCAAAAAACTATTTTTATTCTTAAAATAAACTGTTTAGATTCTTATTGGAGGAATTTGTTGAAAATCCGATTAAAATTCATCATTGATTTATTTAAATGTACCCCTTAGAAATATATAGCATATTACATATTGAGACGATATTACATCGCACCCTCGTTCACTTATTTCACTTCCTGCTTCCACCAAAAAGATGAAAAAGCTTTTAAAGAGCACACACAGTGAAAAATTAATTTAGCACATCATTTATCTTAATTAACTCAGCTAAATGCGATTCAAAAATCTCTATATAAGAGATTTTGTGAGAGTCATTAAGAAAATTTTAAATTTATTCCTGCTTTTCATAATAAAAGGAGGAGCGTGACATTTCATAAAAATAATAAAAGTGGCAGTTTTAATCAAAAAACGGCAATCAATTAACTGGCATGTTATCCCGTAATGCCACAAAAAGTCATCTAATAAAATAGCATTGAATATATATGCGTACACATTACACAGAGGGAAGTGACGAAGATATGATTAAGAAGTAAAAGTTTAATTATTATTTCATGAAATTTCAGGCGCATTTTCGGATCACTAAATTCAGATGAAATTACAGATTATTAAAAAGTTCCTTTATACAATTAAATACTAAGACGCTGAAAAATTCAAAAAAGCAGTTTTTATATTTACAAACTAATCATAAATTAAAATAAAAAAAAAACTAAAAGACATTTAAACTTTAAATTATCTTTGGTATTTAAAAATAATGTTCAAAAAACAGATTTTCCCAAATATTTAACAATTGGCAAGTTACATGGTATGCCACATCAACCCTCAATGCTAGATGTATATTATTATTTAAGTATATTTATTTGATCTCATTGCCACCCTCACACACATACAGTTTTTCATCATTTATTTTATGTCTTGTTTATTGTTTCGTGTTGTTAATAAAATGTTAATAAAATCATCACCCTTGTTTCAATTTTAAGACATAAATTGACTTGTTTTTCCACCCTCTTTGGTTCGTGTGATTTTCTATGGGAAAATTTAAGATCAGCTGGAAAATGAGAAAATTAATGTCGATATAGATAGATATGATATTAACAGAGAGAATATATTAAAAACTTATAATTAGTGTCGTAGCAGAGTGTCCCATTAAAGACAGAAAAAAAGGTAAGTAACATAATTTTTGCTAAAGTATCATGATTTTTAAGTAAGATTAATAAATTGAAAATTTTACACAAATAATTAAAATGGTCAATGACTTTGCATATCTCAAAGTGAAGATGCCACTCCTAATATTATAATGACAATGCAACAATTCATTGTTTCCAAATATATGCTTGTTTAATGACAAAAACTCAAAAAAACCAATGAAACATGAGAAATTAATGTAAACCTTTTCGAATAGCTCATGACTGCTATTTTTAAAGACCACTCCAAAAACAAACGATATTTTTGACGAGAAGCAACGAAAAGCGCAACAACTCAAAATGTGTATTTAAGTGTAAAAGTTAAAAAGGAAACTTGCACGTGACCAAAAATGTGTGCATTCTATCTTTGCTCACAAATCTATTCAGTATGCATGGCTGAAAGCAATTAAATGTTTATGTTAGTGTAACAATCAACCGCGTGAAATCAATATTTGCTGTTAAGTGAATATTTTCCTTTTTTGTTGTTGAAAAAGATGATTTTTTTTTTGTCGAGGGTGTAAAATTTACTAAGGAGTTTCCCATTGTCTTCATACAATGGATGATTCAACGAATTACTTAATTGCATAATGACTTTAAAATTCTTTATTATCAATGACATCAATGGAGTTATTTTGTGTGGCACGTGATGGGCGCGTAGTAATAGAACTTCCGATTCATGTCCATCCTATGTCCAATAACTGCTGACCTTATGCTTTATGAGATTTCGGATCGACATCAATGATACAATTCAAATTGAAATGTTATTACAATTTTTCTATTTTCTTCTTCTTATTTCTTTCCTGTGCAGTGATTCCGCTGCCTATCTTTCTTTTTCATTGTTTCCATTCATTACAATTTTTTATAGGATTGCCTTCATATCCGTTTTCCGGCTTTTCTATATCCTGCATGAAAATTGAACAATATGCGTATATCATATCCAATTCACTAACTGACAATTTGAATATAGACAGCATTATTATTATCCTATACTAAAGTTCTTTATTTATTTGATGAGAGCCAATCCATTCGATACTATAAGTCTAATATTAGTTCATTCAGATTGTCAGTGCATTTAAATTCTTATGTATTTAATATAGAAAATGCGCTTTAAAATCTCTTAAAGCAATTCAGTATAAATTTTAAAGGGTTGATTCTTCTATAAGCTCTAATCTTTATTAAGTCATTATTTTATTTCCACAAATCATGAATGAATACTAAAGATATACATTAAAATCAAATCAACAACTAACAAATTTTCAAGACCATTAAATTTTAAAGTAATTTCCTTTAAAACTAACGTTTTATAAATTTTACAATTGATAACTTCATCAGATTGTCATTTCTTCTAGCTAAGCATTTTGAAAATTTTCCTTGCTGATACAGATGATTATTATGATGATAAAGAAAGGGATGTAGGGATCGTATTCGAGTTCGAAATTTACAAGTCATTAAGTAAAGGAAATTTTTTATTAAAAACTTGAAATGTTTTAAAATCAGAATATAATTTATTGAGGGAAGTTGAATTTTTCCCCTTAAGTTAATATTTTTTAAACAACACGCAAACCGCACCTATATAAATTATGATTAAAAACTATAAAGTTTTTAATTTTGACTATAATTTTTTTTTTGATGTTGTTTCTCTATTTTTTCAAATTTTTCATTTAATTGCATAAAATTTGGTTAAGTTTGTCAAATGAGACCATACAAAAACATTTTCTTGTTATTCATATTAAAAATGTTAAAAGTGCATCAATGAATCAACCTCGTTTGATTTAGAGCGTAAAAAAATGGGATATCTTCCCTAGCTACTCTTGCAAAAACAAACTCAATAAAGAGAAGTTTTTTTTTTGCAAACCATAAATCTCTTAATTCCTTTTATGTGGAGTAAAAAACTACATAAAACATATTTTTTTATGCTGAATCCTCCTCTTTCATTCGCTTTCTCTTTTGCTGTGTATATTTCCTTTTTATTATTATTGTTGTTGAGCATAGCGTTTAATATAATTGAAAGGAACATCATGATGATACTATCTTCTATTACTAAAAGAGAAAAAAGCATATTAAGGATATTATCAATTTTCATTCTACTTCTTTTTTTTCATGAACATTAAGCAAATTAGATGAAAATCGTTGATGTCATTGATTTTGAGATTTTTTTATAGGGATTCAATAAACATAAATGTCTATACTAATGTATGTATTTTATAAAAATAGCTCTGTGCTGAAAAAAATACTTACACTTGATTGATGACCTCATGATGTTTACTTCAAACACTAATGTATTTAATGGACATAAACTTCCTTTCACAAACTATTCAGAGCAATTAACTCACTTACACTGTATGATTCATTTATTCTATGCTTATGCATGATAATTATCTCCTTTTCAACCTCATTCTGATTTTTGGTTATCGTAAGATTAAAAATAAATCTCTTATATCCTCATCAGCATGAAATGAAATCATAATAAAACGAACGTTCGCCTTTTTTGTACAAATATAAACTAAGAGATTGTCTTCTTTTTGTTCATCATTTTCGTGGTCAACTCGAGCGTGAAAATATAGATAAAGCTGGTTCATCATCAATAATAAATTTATGAATCTGAACATATATGATTTTATATCCTATCTTTCGCCCTATTTGAATGCATACAAAAATAATGTAAGCTCAAAAATTTATGAACGATTCATTCAATTTGCTCATATTTTCCTCACACTTATTTTTTTCATCAATTGTTAAAGTCATTCACTTAATGGGCATAATTCACTTTCGGCTCTCATTCTATTCCCGAATATGTTTACGAAAACATATTTTATACAGTTGAAAGAACACTTTATGAAGGAAGGGATATTCACACTGAAACGCAAAAGACTTCATTCATGAGCACAAAAAATTAAAATCGGAAACGAAATAGTTTTTTCATTGTTGACACTTAATTGAATTTAAGGCATAACCTTTAAAAAAATCGGTCACATTATTCTGTTTCAAATATAAAAAGATATTATTGCTATGTAAAGCCCTAAAGAGAGATTTGTAAATATATACAGGGCAATTACTTTACAGTAATTACTTCCATTGTTCACGCACTTTGGCATTATCTTCCTCCTTTTCACCTTACTATTCTGATATTTTCATTCATGATTTGTTAAAAGCATATTTCAACAAAAAGCTGTTTCTATTTTAAATCAGTTTTTTTCAATGAGTTCCAAACTTTTTTGGTTGGCAACACAATTTTGGGTAAATAAATTTCATGACCTATTTTGAGAATGAATGCAATAATTGGTCATACATATTTGACAGTTATGAAAAACGCATAGTTTGGATTTTACTGCGACTTTGTATATATATGAGCCTCGTCACAAAAAAATTGTACTTGAGTGACGCTTTGTTATTCTTATATCGTTATCCTTAAAAGTGACAAATTTAAAAGAAACTTTTTTAAAAGGAGAATTAAAATCCCGAAACGTCGAGGCCTATTTACATTTACAATAATTAATATATTATTTATCTTTCTATAAATGCGCTTCTTCAAATGAAATTTAGTTTTTTTTTGCTTTTCACAATAATCTTTAAACTAAGCACAAACTTAAAGAACTAGCTTATTGTTCGGCCTTTAATGTGAGAATTGACCGAAAACATCAACTCAACTTATTCATACCTATTTATGTATATGCTGATCAATAGCTAGATTATTTGAAAGATTAAGGCAGTGACATTTTACACAAGAAAAGCAGAAGTGAACTAATTTAATTTTAAGATTTTGTGGTCATTTGATCCATTGTTCAAATTGTATTTTTTAAAAGATGAATATACGTAGTCGAACTTAGAAAAAGTACACAAATTAAAATCACATCACGTACAATACTCAATATGTGTCCTACAAATATTTAGGCAGTATAACAAAATAATTTTGTTTACTTTTAGTCCTCCTTCTCCCATCCAAATGAATTAACAATAATTTGTTTGATAATATCATGAATCTCTAATTTGTTATACTTTATCCGTCGCTTGTTTGCAAATAGTATTTCTGATATCGAACAAGAAAGAAAAAAAAGAGGGAGGAAAAATTCGATTTTTATCCCAGCTAAATGATTGTAGTTAGGATAAAGAGGTCCTTTTAAACATGCAGCGTTTGAATTAGAAATAAAATCGATAGTGAAATGCTTTTCTCGCAGCTGGATATTTTTAAATTAAAACTTTGTGTCAAAAAAAAAGAAATCTCAAAATAATCGGTTCATGAAATTGTACAGCAAAACTTCAACTTCTTTTACTTTTCCAAAATAAAACTGAATTTAAATGACAATGTTTTTTAAAAAATTAAATTTTGTAATTTAAAGATTGTTTTAAGTCAAATTCGATCTTTATTTATAAAAAGCATATATTCGGTTAAAATGAACAATTCAATTTCAAATCTATCAATCAAAAAAACTTGATGACAAATAATTTCGTTTTTTTAAAGTTAAAATGCCTTAAATTTCTTTTATAGAATTTTTATGCTCACACCTACATGTTTTCTATTTTTAGCTTCTTACAAACGACAAATTAAAATCAATTATGATGAGATTATACTTCCAATGTTCCTTTTATAAGCTGGTTTCTGCTTAAGAAATACTTTTTTTCACTCATCTCCTTTCAATACTTAATCCATGTGTTTGCCCACGCATCTACAACTATAGTAAAATAAATAAAAAATCATTCAAACAAATTTATAAAATTTAACTCAATTTCTTGATTGAAAGCAGAAGGATAAAAACTTAAAAAAAGGAAAAAGTAAAATAATTTCAAGACTTACGCTTATAACGCATTTTTTTAAAAAACTATTACTTATTTTAAAACGCAGTTTAAATCAAGTTTAAATTAACGAAAACTTTGCGATAATTCCGAATTAAATAACAAGGATATGCAGACATTAGAAAACTAAATAATGCAGGTTAACTGTCAAGACAAGATGTTTGTTGCTATAAATAAAAAAGGAAATAAAAAGTTAAAGATGTTTTTCTCACTGTTGATTGAAAAAGATTTCAGCATTTTTTGTATCCTTCAAAAACATGTTTATTTGTATCTTTAACACTTCTTTGTGCCTTTTCTGTTTTTTGTTGAAAATTTACTTATAGTTTCTTTTAAGGTATATGGAGAACAAAGAATTATTCAGACATATAATTCGGAACTAGAAAAAGGAAAAACTTCTCTTCTATTTTTTTCAATGAATTTCTCTTGCTCATTCAGCCAAAAAAGGAATGAAAGAAAAAGAGAAGCAATTCCGAAATTTTTAAATTGATCTTATTAATTTACGAGGGATCTCAATGGTATTGCTGTTGTTCCGCTTTTGAGGCTCAGAATATGTCAAATCATTTCACTTTTTATGTGAAATTTATAAATAACAAAACAGCATTGTATAATTTTCCTTTCAAGAAGTAAATGGATGAAAAGGAAAAAAATTTGAGGTCATCAATTGAATTTTTCAGTAACAAGATTAGAAGTGAGAAAACAAATTTTATTGACAAAAGAAAGTGGAAGTTATACAAAATTCACTTGAACAAAAGATTTTGAATTTCTTTTTATGTTTTCGGCTTTTTATTTTGTCAACATTTAAACTATTCTTTTAAAGCATATCCGAAGATTCTTCATCAAATACCATTAAACTTATGATTTCCCTTTTTTCTGAAGAAATTTTACTAAGGTTCAAAAATTTCGATAAGATATCGGAATTGTTTTTTGTTTGAATTCTATATTGCACGTATTCATGAAAAATTGAAATTTATATTCCCACATTTTCCTGATTCTTCTTCATTTTTCCTCCATCCATCCATCATCATCATTTTCTTCGCTGAATAATTTTTATCTCCTCCTTTTACATTTATTTCTCATCCAATCCTAATAATGTAATGATTATCTTTGTTTTTAAAAATGAAAAATTTCTTGACTCCCTTCATAAAGTTGTCTAAACGAAATAAAAAAAAAATCGATTTCAATACAAAGAGTCATAACGGCGCAACTTTTATACTTACTATAAAAGTTCTGATGTTATATAAAGAATAAAGAAGAGTTAATCGATGGCCGGAAATATTGAAGACAAAAATATTTCATTCCTAAAATCCACCGACACATAATTTTATTTTCATACGTTTATGGAAATATTATATCAACGACAATTCGACTTAATGGATGTTTTTTTTTTCTTCTTTATTATAACGTGTGTCGAAACTTGTCGAATACTCCTTTCTCACCAACTTCCTGTTAAGGACTTATAATGATTATTTTCAATTTGTTACGATCATCAAGACTTTTTGAAATTTCAGTTTTCTGTAGATTCTTTAGAGAAAAAATATTAGCTTCGTTATATTTGTCCCTATTTATCTACGAACCATTCACATATAATAACATTAAACTTTATAAAATATGTTAGCAACACACAATGATTATATTGAATTGATTTCCTATTTGCTTCTTCATTGATCTGTGCAGTATGTATTACATTCATAAAGTCAGGGACAAAAAAATTAAACACATCATATAACCGTGAAGAATTGACTTATTGAGAGAGCCACTTGATATAGTCATAGTGTATAGCAGCACTTAAACATAACATATACTGCTTACAACTAAATGCTGTGTTCAAAAAGTAGTTTAAATATTTTTTTTAAAATCAATCAATGTTTTAATTTTATAAATATTCATTATTTGGAATTACTAAAATTCGACGGAATGTACTTTGATGATTGAAAATTAAGCACTGAAAAAAATATATCTTTGAAAATATTTTTGTTGCAATCTTTAATATTCTAATATTAAACTAAAACAAAATAGTTTGAATAACAAAACTCATAACTTTTTTTAATGAGCTTATAAAGCCACTTTAATCTTTCAAAGTAATGTATATATAATATCTCATATTTTAAAAAATATCACAGAAGTGTTTTTATTTGTGTTGAGTCCCAAAAAAGAAAAAAGACTTTGTTTAGCATGTAAATTAAAGCTGTTTCTTTTTCAATCCTCTTTTGTCGCGTCAAAATCGAAGACATGGGCCGTTTATTAAATTTTTGCATTCATAATGTTACATTAATGACTATTCCAGAACTTCTTTGCATTTCATCATAGGCTTTGCAATGATACTTTGGAATCTTGTACTTTTTGTTCTTCTAAAATAGTCGTAAGACACTTGAAAACATTATCAGGTAGATGATCCAGTACCATTCGTGGCATGACTCGAAATTCTTGAAACTCTTCAGGTTGACACCATTTCATTTCGTACGTTGGACCACCTGTTTTTGTTTTTCTGTCAAATGTCAAAGTAAATAGAATTAAAAGTGTAATTTTAAATTAGTTTTTATTTTGTCGTTACTTACTTTTCCATTTCTGTCTTCTTTCTTCGTATTATATGTAATATACGTCCACCTGTATAAAGTCTTGTTTTGGCAAATCTTCTTAGGGAAATTTCTTTTGAAACAAGTGCAGCTTCTGCATTAACTTGATCAGATGGTGAATGAACTGATTGTTGAACACTTAGATCTGAAACATCCCGCCATGTTGTTTCTAAATCGCGTGATGGTATTGTGAACATTGTATATCCAAAACCATTCAATAAAATTCGATACTAGAGCGAGCAAAAAATAAAATAAAATAAAAATATGATATATTTTGAAATTAAAGTCTCACCTTTGGTAGTTTGCATGCTCGTAAAGTCTCAATGACATTTGTACGAATGTTTTCAACTGACTCTACACACAGTCTCATTACGAAGTCATCGCCAACACCAACAGTGAAAACAAATGATTCAGTTATACGTGCAGCTTCACGAGATAAAAGTCCTGCTGGAGTTGCAAATGCGTAAACTCTTAAATCGGGGTACTTTTCTCTAAGTTTAGCACCAATCAGAATCGATACTCCACCACCTAAGCTGTGTCCAGTTAAAGTTAATGTATAATCTGCATACGTGTCACAAACTCGATTAAGAAGATTTCCTACTTCTAATTTCTGAATAATTTTTTCAGCACCTATAACCATACCTCGATGAGCTGCTGAATTAACGGGGAAGTTGGGTGCTTGAAAATCAGTAGCATCTGCTGTTAAATCAGTGAAAACGTCTCTGAATGAAAGACTTCCCCTAACTGTTAAAACAATTTGCTTTTTGACATGATCAAGGAGCAAGCAAAAAGGTAATTCAAAGACATGATTTTTGAAAGAAACATAAACAATATCATCAGCTCGAAGTCGAGAAATTTCTCTGACTCCACCAAAATGACATAAGCAGCAATTATCATCAACAACATTGTTTTGACTTCTACAGCATCCACAGCAAGTAGCATTTCTGAGTAATTTAAAGCAACCGGAGCAACATTTTAAATAGCAAACCATTGGCCAACCATAAGAAGAAAGAGCAAATCGTAGCATATACCGAGCATTTGCAACTGTCATCCAAGGTGGAGATGTTGCAAATAATCTCATCATATCTGTTGTGTACCTTGGTCCATCAGCATTCAACATTCTGATTCTTCGCATTTCACGAGTCTCTCGTTTTTGGCGTACACGAAGAAGTATAGATCCGGCAATAATGTCTGGAAATATTTGTGTTATCTACAGTTATTTATCATAAAATTTTAAAACAAAAGATTTGTTGTAGTCTTATTTACCCGAAGGAACAAGGTCAGTACTACGGAAGAGCGCACTCAATAAACTAGCGACCTGCATAAAAGCTTCTTGACCATATTCGTCACGTCTTAGACAGCAAAAAACCCATCGAAATCGATTTATCCATACTTTTGAAACTTGAGTTTGTTTTAAAAAAAAAGATATTAATTTAAGTTTTTTGATGTATGCATTTCTAATTACCTTTTTTATGCAAAAATGTTTCTGTTGGATGAGTTTTACGATATTTAGAAGAACCTAATGGATTATAGACTAGTAAAAATCCAAAAATAATGAGACCGAATACTATCCAGTTAAGAACGACCGTGACTTTTGAAGAAAACATAAGGAGAAGAGTTAATTTAACTTAAGGAAATAATTTAAATCGAATGCATACTTTCAATCACCGTCTTTGAATAAAAATCGTCAGTTTTACAATTTATTGATCCGCAGAATGCCCAGATACTACCAAAAATATTAAGAACTGTTTCAGGAATGATGAAAATAACTTTTAAAGTCAGCAATGGAGCAACAAATCGTCTAGCGTTAACTTCTGTTATTGAACCTTGAGCACTCTGATTAATTAATAGCACACAAAGAATCAAATTTATACAAATAATGGTAATAATTGAGGCTAAATATATTCTTATCATAAATCCATGCTCATCACATGTATAAGTTTTGTGCCAATATTTATTTATCACACACGAAATTAACGCTAACCTATATTGAACAGGATAGAAATAAATTACAGGGTGAGAAAATGAATCAGTTAATGTTGATTTTAGGATAATTTATGGGATGTTACTAACCATGCAATGCGGAAAGCAAATTCAAATATACCAGGAAACACGAGATCATCAGATCCAAATAACCTAGATACATTAAAAACAAGTGGTTAATTGAAGAATCGGTCATTAATTCACATTGAGGTTTTCCCTTCTTCAAAAACTCACCACTTCCTTCCAAAAAGACGCAGAGCTGGCATTATTTATATCGTTAATTTCTCCTCGTCTGCAAGTAAAAAAAATACGTACAAAAATAATTGATTTAGTATTAGTATTTAGGAAATGATTCATGATACTCTGAACTCTGTAAATGGATATAAGATTTATTAAGTTCGAAACTTGTAATGAGTTATTACTTATTTTGTTGGGATTTTTTCGGACTCTTTAATATTAAAGCTCATTTTACATCAAATATAAAAGAATTAAAATTTGTAACAAACATAATTTTTGTAAAAATTTGAATAATATGTCGTTACCATGTGCAGATGCTGCTCTTTTTGAATTTTACAACATTTATAACATTTAATACAAGGTTATGTGAATTGGCGATAAGAAGTTCGAGGTATTCAATGACTTTGTCAATCTTGGAGCTATTATCAACAACAATCATGACACTATATTGGAGATAAAGCGGAGGATCTTGGTAGAGAGTAGCCAGCGACAAAATCTATTTCAGCATCAACTAAGGGAGGCTACGGATCACAATTGATCTGCAAAACCAGTGATGTATGTATGCATGCATGTAATACAAAGTTTAATTTTTATCTCAATAAAGAGCGAAAAATGTAAGATTTTGAAAATTGAACTTGTAGTGAGACGTAAAAAGAGGTATGTGAAATACTCAGGGTCAAATTTTTGTGTACAATTAAAATTGCTTATTACAGGTGAAATGACCTCACGATCTAATCACATGGCTTTTAACATATCCTATACTTGCTGTTAGTGGTTGAGTGAGCGAAATAATAATTTACAAATTAGGAGAATTTTTATAGTGATTTATAAACTTTAAATGATGCTTTTAAATATTTACATAATGCAAAGGTAATAATAATCTTTAACATAACAGAAGGTGCTAAGTTGATCTGTGAATTCGAAATTAATTGATTAATTTTTAATAATTCCTTTTACCAACTCAACTTTTTGAATTACTTCTAAGGTGTTGCGTCGCTCAAAAAGTTTAGACAACACTGATTATTTGGATGAAATGAAAGTGTTTACAATTTTGTTTTTAATCTTTACTAAGCTACTATTCGTTATCAAGCTAAACTTTTTAATAAAAAATGCAATTTTTTGTTCTACTAAGCTACTAGCTTATATTCTCGAGTTTACTCGAGTTGACTAGAAAAAAATGAAGTCGACTCGAAAAAACCCGAGACTTCGAGCTCTGCTATAGACTGCTCACTTTGAATTGTCATGATTAACTGATGAGACGTAGGCGCTCATTATTTATTGCCACCTTTAATATATATTTCTAAGAAGCTTGCGTAGTGAATCATATCGGATAATATTTGAAATCCCATTTTAATATTTTTGCAATTCATCATATTAGTTGAACTTTGGAACGATGACGATAAGTTGCCGTCCATAGACGCGATCGTAATTTTAAAAAAATAAATGAAAATAATTTACAGCATCAAATTATCAAAATATGTATTGGCCAAAGATCATTGTAAGCTATATGATCTGAAATGTCACTGGAATTAGTCAGTTCCATAGGACAATATTTATACTCGATGCAGAAAAGAGGAATAATGGATATAATAAAAAATAAATTGCTAGCAATTGTGAAAGAGACGTCTATTAAAACTACTATTAGCTTTAAAAAAAATGGTCTTTTTCTAGTGGCACAAGGCAGCACAAAGAAGCAACATCAATGTATATTCGTAAAAAAATGTATGTAAAATGACTATCTTATGCATGTATAGATTGCATGTTTATGTGCAGTTGTAAGAAGTACAAAGAAAAATAATTTGAAATAACATATCTAAGTAGCTGCTTTTCAATGCAATAAAATGTGACATAATAATATAGTATAATAATAATGAATGTATGCAGTATCGAAAAATTTTATGGATTTAGGTACAATATGTTGCAACTTAAATGTTTTTGCATTCATTCTTTAATAATTGTTCATGAGTGATCCTTGAAATTTACATTTTGATAACGGCAATAGATTTCTGGTTTTTTTTATTTTATAAGCAATGTGCCTCTTAAAGATTTCTGAAATTAGCAAATGTTATAGTTTCCCAATTTTTATACAAAAAATGTTAGGTACTGATATAATGAAAAAAAAAAACGATTTCCCTTCAAAAAAAGTAAAAATAAATTAGTTCTAAAAAACAACTTAGCATTACCTTTATGAATAGATAGTAATTTTTGATGCGCTCGATTCTCTCACGACTTGAAATTTGTTATTTTCCTCTCCACTGCGTCAAGAATATTTTATTATTATACTTTTCTTTATATCTCACTTTTTTTTTTCTTCTCTACAATCGTTAATATTTCGTTTGGAGTAGAATGAAATACCGTTATGTTATCGTTGAGATATGTAAAGATGAGATTCTGTGCACCATAATATGGACAAGAATTTTTTTTCCATTTCTGCTCGTCGAATGAATTATTATTTACTTTTCCATTAGATTTTAATTATTATACACTCGATATTGCTTATATGATTATTCTATTCAGTTTCATTGACATTTTCATCGCAAACTTAAATTAAGACGTTTTTCTCATTTTTTAAGCAGTATGAATTTCGTTCCTTTTTAAAGTTAAAAATAAGCTCATAAAAATGAGTTCAATTTACGCAGTTAGCAAATACATAAAACTGAAACTTTTCACTTTTATTTTACACATTAAAGAAGGTGGTTTTTAGGTAATCACTCTCTATGAAAGTCAATAATTATTTTTTTTTACTGAATTATTAATTTGTGTCACTCTTAATAATATAAAATTATTGACTTGTATTTAATTGACGGAAAGTCGTTTTTGGCACTCGAATTTTTAAGTTTCTAACTTGTAATTCCTTTCAAAATACGTTTTTACTATAACACACACTTTATATTATTTTCGTGTGCACAAAAAAGAAGGTAAAAGTAAACAAGCATCGCACATTTGCAGCAAATGTTTTGCAAGAAGTTGGACTTTGCTGAGATTGGAAAAACGTGTTTGATCACTTTTTTGTCGTTGTTGCAATTTATCCAAACAGCATCACAAAAAAAAATCTACTTTAAACTACGAAATGCACCTCCTTTTTTTCTTGCAGAATAATTTTTCCTATACTCCAGTATTTAAATTTAAAATCATTAAATGCTTTAATTTGCTATTTGTTGTGCTGACTTGAGGCATCGAATTTACTGTTTTAACTCAATTGATTGGTGTGCGCATAAGATTTTGCAATTTTATGATTATGAAATAATTCATTTTTCATTAGATTTTGAGCATTTATTTCTTAAGATTATTTGCAGTTACAATCAATCACTAAATCATATCACAAGAAGTGAAATTTCATAATATATTATTTAAACACAAAAATTCTATTAGAATTAAAGCTTTTTAATTAAATTTATAAACAAAAACAGATTGAATAAAAACCCGATGTGTTTCATCGAAACGAGTGCTGAAAACTAACCAGTAAGCTGAGAAATAAGACATAAAAGTATGTACATGTTTTACGCTCTCGCGATTTTTTGAAGCAGAGATTTTACTTTTATTTACACTATATGCGAACAAAGATTGTTTGTTAAGTACCGACGGATATACTCAATACATCTATTGTATGTTCTTCTCTCATTTTCAATGCATAATTTATTTGTATGAACGTAACAAATGCACTGATTGATGCAAATTGATTTAAATAGAAGATGATTTATTCCTCCAGATAAAATGCTCTAAATTCTTTCATCATAAAATAGTACATTTTGAGCCCGTTTTTTAATTCTATTGAACCTTACCTATACATTAATAATTTTAGAGTTGCAATACATTAAAATTTGAGGGTTCATTCATGGCTTTAAAAACATTAAACCTAGTTAATATACAATGATTCAAATTCGGAAAAAATGTTCAAAAATTCAAAGTTATCATATTAATTAAACTTCATCTTTTGAATGCCAGATTAAAGATCTCAACTTGAGGCATATTCTATGATATTTATCTGTTTCCAATTTGTATATGAACTAGTGTATCGGGTAGAAACCCAATGCGGATTATATTCACACCGTCCCATCAAAAGTCTTATGGATAGACCAAGATTTGCCCAGTATAAGTATGAAGGTATGAAGCTTGATAAGTCAACTGAGCTTCGCTCAGCATATGTTTAAAGGTTTAAAGTTAAACGAACATTCTTTAAAAGTTTAATCATTTATAGTTTAATTTTATAAAAATCACAGTAAACTTTTGTTTTGAAAAATTCGTAAGAAAGGAAAGTAATTTGCTTTTTCTGAAGCAACGGCTGTTCCTACCTTGCCCAAAAACAATACAGCTCTTCTATAGAGCAGCACGGATCAAATGTAAAAAACTAGAAGTCTCTACGATGTCTCGTTATTGAGATTTCTTGCTGATTAACTTGCTTGCTTGGTTGCTTGCTTACAGAAAGCGTATTTTGCGATTTTCTCAGCAATGTCGCAACCAATTTGAAATCTGTTTTTTAAAAATGATGTAAAATTTCAGGCACAAACTTTTCTTCTGTGACCTTTTATAACCAATTTTGCTTTGCTTTCTCACAAAATGCGAAAAACTGATTTTTCAATCTGAACAAAACCAATAGATTCACACGTGATATATATATATATATATATATATATATATATATATATATATGTATATATGTATCAGTTGCACAAGCTTAAATTTATCTCTCATACTAATATAGTCTTGCCGTTTGATGCCGTTTTCGAGATATTTGCGTTCAAAGTTTGCAAAAATTTACATACAAAATTTTGTCATGCACAATATTTTTTGATAAACTTTTACAAACGTTTGCAAAAAAATCATGTCTATCCTTTATATTACAGAGTAAGTTTTTGAGCAATTAATGAAAACATTATCAAATCAAAAGAAATTTACAAAATCTTTCTATTTTCTAATGCGTCGAAAAAATATTGTGCACAAGGAATTTTTAAACACTTTTTTCAAATCTGAATCATTGTCGAGACCCTTTTAAATTTCTTGACAAACATACTGATCGTACTCTCTCTCTCTTCTCATTACCCATTTACTTATATGCGTCAACACTACTGACCTTAATTTTTCTTTATCTCTCTTTCTTTGATACATACATGCGTTTTACATTATATCTACGTGTATTAGGTAGACAGACAGTTCAAATAGAAATTAAAAAATCATTACCACGTTTTTTTCAGTATTTTTTATGCCAATTTAACGAAAAATAAATTTTAATTTTATCCTGTTTTATTTTTGTATTGTCGCACATTTACATTTATTCGACTATCGCTTAAATATGAATCAAACTGACTCCAATTTTCTTGGCAAAGGCACTCATTTAGATCATCAGAATTAAGACGACTGCAGTTATTTATGTTTTGATCATCATTCCATGGTTTCGACTCTGACTCAAAAATTCTAGGAACTGAATGATAATTGAATCTACTATTTCCAGACATTACTAAAACATCGCCTGAATTCAGTAAGATTGGAATAGCATCGTCATCTTTGGAAGTTCCTCCCATAAGAAAAACTGCCGGCTGTCCAAAACTGATTGAAAAAAGTGGCGCATTACAAATTTCTGAATGGTCTGAATGAGCAGAAAGAGTATTTCCAATGTGATAGAAATTTATTATAGCTGCTTCCGACATAAAGTCATTGAAATTTAAAACTTCAGCAAAAACAGAAATAAGTTTAGAAAGTTCTTCTGGAAATTCATTCTTGTTTTGTTCATTGTAAACTTTATTTGTCCAGTCATAATGGTATCCTAAAGTGGTCCATCGCATTGATTTTTTTATTAACCTTTTCTGTTGTTGATCAACTTCTTCAATCCATGATGCCCAAAAATCCTTGATGATATTTTGCTTAAATTTTGATTCCAGTAAATTGTTGGGATGATTTTTTGTATAGTCTTTTACTAGTTTCTTAATGTAGTAACGTTGTCCAAGTGATGTAAAAGGATTTTTTATGACTATAAGACCTGGGCATTCTATTAAGCTATAAATTTTCCACTCATTTATATTTTTCAATCCCAAATTTGGAATCTTTTGGTCTGGATCAATAAATATTTCATTAAGCTATAATAAAATACGATTTTAAGTGAAAAATTATAGTTGATTTGTAATTTTTTTACTCACTACATGCTTATTATTTCCAGAACAGTCGATGACATTATCTAAATTAGGCAATATGCCTTTACTTTTGTAGTATTTAAACTTTTTCATCATTTTGTTTGATTTCTTTATTTGTTTTGATTTAGAACCTCTATATATCGAAATTGGCTGTTGTAACGTTTTTTTCAAGATTTGTTTCATTATTTTTTTAAACGATTTTTAAATAAATCAATAAATTAAAGAAAAGAGCTTAAATTAAGTTGAAAATAGTGTTCAATTAGATTAAGTAAGTAGTATATAATACAAAATACAATTAATTCTATGAGTTACAGCATAATTTATATGAAATTATAGCAAAAATGAATGCGGCTTTTCGATTGGAAAATAAAAAGAAATTAAGTCAACATGATTTAAGACGACTAATGAATGAGCAGAAACAGTCACGAACAGTTGATACTAATAAGGTTGACTCACCGTTCGCAAAATATGAAAATGGTCAATTAACGTGCGTTTTATGTAAATCATTAGTAAGATCTGAGAGTGTTTGGAAAGTCCATATAAATGCAAAGCAGCATAAGGATAATTTACAGCTGGCCAAACGCCTGAAAGAAAAATTACAGAATCAAACAAAAAAATCAGTCCAGGACGAAAGAGTTGCTGGATTAAAACGATCTATTGAAGATATGCGCTCAGAGGTGCCTGAAAAGAAATTAAAAGGAATTTTGAAAAATAGTACATCATCGATTTCATCAGCAACAACTATTATAGCAGTTAAGCAAAATGAAGCACCCATTAATAAGAAGGAAAGTGATAAAACGCAACAAGAAAAGCCATCGATACCTGATGACTTTTTTGATTCAAAGCCCAAATTCACAAAATCTGTAAAAACAAAAAATCCAGAAGTTGAAAACGAAAACATGCAAGTTGACGAGGCACTTCCAGAAGGATTTTTTGATGATCCAGTGAAAGACGCAAAGGCAAGAAATCTTGAATATAAAGATCCAGTGGAAGAAGAATGGGACAAGTTTCAAAAAGAAATTAAAGAAGCAGAAATCAAATCAACAAACATTATTAATGTAGAACATGAGGAAGCGACAGTTGAGAGACAAATTGATGAAATTGATGAACAAATTAGGAATTGGTCTAGGTAAAATTTAAATAAAATTCGTATAATCATATGTAATTGTCATTTGTAACAATTGTTTAGGGTGCTTGAAATGGAGAAGAAGAAGGAAGAAATTGAAACTAAACTTAAGCAAGAGATTTCAACTAAGGATGATAGCGATATAATAATGAAAACAAGTGATACAGAAAGTGATGAGGACGAAGATATTCCTGAGTTTATCGACTGGCGATCGAAAAAAAGTCACAAATAAATTTTTTAAATTAAATCTTCAATTTTAATATACTACAAATAAAACTTTCCTAATTAGTAAGCAATAGCCCAAGAGTTCGCTCATTTGAATATTCACTTTTAATAGTTTTTAACATTTGTAGACCAATTTTTATTCTTTTCACATGATGTCCATTAAATTTATAGTGGAAGCTTGTCCAATTTTTCTATTATCACTAGAGACACCTAAGAAATGTTTAGAGCTGTTCTTAGATAAAATGAAAAAAATTAATTCTAATTGCTTGTCCTAATAATGTTAAGCACAAATGCTTTTGTATTTCAAATCAAAATTGGCAAAAAATGACCAAAATTTTTACTGCATCCACTTGTGCTGATATCTAATTTTATTGATACTTCCTCAAATAAAAAAAGGAATAATACCTAGATACAAAGTATCAAAAAGAAATTATGCAAACATTAGCACTTAAAAGTTTTTGAAAATAAAGTTCTTAAAATTTACATTTGTTTTCTATTTTCATTTCATAGTACTTCATTAAACATTAAACTCTTGAACTTTCAGCAAGTACAGTATACATTTTTTTAGAAAAATCATTTTTAAACCAATTTCTTTAATTTTCTATCCAAATAATTGTATCAACATGAAAAAATATTTGTCGAATATTAAGCTTGTTGAAAGTCATCTGAGAAATTAGAGAAAACAAAATTTGTTTTCGTCAGTACAATCTCGGGAATTCCCTTTTTTTCAGAAAAGTTGAAGTTTTTTTAAACAAACTTTTATGATGCATTAAAAAAATCCTCTCAATTATATGAAGATTGTCTCATATAAAACTAGTGTATCCCAATTCGGATGTATTCACACCGTACCATCGAAAATCTTGTGGGTAGACCAAGCTTCGCTCAGCATATGTTTGAAGGTTCAAAGTTAAACAGACAGCATAATGTGTACAAACATCAAAGTTTGGTAAATTTATTTCATTCAAGTTATTTTTTACTTTTTTCAAAGCAACGGCTGTTCCTACATTGTCCAAAAAATACAGCTCTTCTATAGGGAAGCACAGATTAGCAGAAAGTGTATTTTGTGGCAATTCCTCAACCAATTTGAAATCTGTTTTTTTTTTTAAAAAAAAAATTTCAGCTCACATTTTTCACGTAGAACCTTTTTCAGACAAATTTTCTGCGTTCCCACACAAAATGCGAAATACTGAGTCTTCAATCGGAACAAAAACAATAAATGCACACGTGAATAAGGTGTGAATATAACAAGTTAAAATTCCTTTTGTGGATTCAAAAGTTGTGTGTCGTGTAAGTTGATTAATTTATTTTTTGATTTTAACATCAAATCAATTGTGGTTACAAAAGGCTGCAAAAGGAATATATTTCTTAAGCACTTTTAATAAGTATTTAATTTATGCATCGAAACTTTTGTTTTATAAAAATGAGATTAAAAATGAGAGGAGAGAGATCTTTAGTTTCAAGCTGCGATCACCATGATGAAACCAGTTAAATTATAGACGTCGTTTAGTGCACATTTCAGTTTTTGTTTTGAAATATTTAATTAAGAATTATTATGTTATCAATTAATGAACAGTTCAAATTAGTTGGGCTATCGTTAGGGATTTTTGCTAGCTATAGTATCATGGCTCTTTATCAAGAAAAAATTTTTAAGAATGATTACGAAGGAGAAAAGTTTGTTTATCCAACAACATTTGTAGCTCTTCAATGTTTGGTTTACTTTGTTACCGCAAAAGGTGAATTATATTTTAAAAAATTATTCTTATTCGTAATTTTAATTATAAAACAATAATTCTTATTTCCAGGAATTATGATGACCCATGATCATCCAATAAATGAAACGCCTCAAATGTATTATTTTATTGTTGCTTTGTTCTACTTATTGGCCATGACGACCTCAAATATGGCTATTCAGTATATTCCTTACGTGGTTCAAGTTGTTGGAAAAGGCTCGTAAAAATTTTGAACAATCATTTAAATTTTGAATCTCATTAACTTTAAATCAGTTTCATTATATGCAACTTTGGTTGCAATTGGTTTGAAAAAACAATAATGAACCCCCCTCCTCTCTTGTACCTTCAAATCATATAAACAAAGGGATGTCAGAAGTTTTCTGATCTCTTTTTGTTTTTAAAAATTTGCATAACATAATTTTTTCTTGTTTTCCACAGCTTGTAAACCAATTCCTGTGATGCTATTCGCTGTTTTGATAGTAAAAAAGTCTTACACTATTCAGAAATATTTCTTTGTTTTGATGATCGTTTTTGGAGTTGGTCTATTTATATACAAGGACGGTGTAAATTCATCACAAGAAACATTATGGGGATATATGCTTATATTGATAAGTCTGTTATTTGACGGTTGTCTCGGTGCAGCTCAAGATAAAATGAGAATTGTATCAAGACCATCATCACTGAATTTCATGTACTATGTTAATGCTTGGAGTACGTTAATATTTATTCCACTATTGTTTATAAACTATGAAGGTTGGAGATTTGTACAGTTTTGCATTAAGCACTATGAAGTTGGTTATTATATGGCTATTACTGTTTTAATGGGAACAGCTGGTCAATATTTTATATCAACGATGATATCAACTTACGGTTCATTACCATTAGCTATAGTAACTACTTTAAGAAAATTCTTAACAATTTTATTTTCATCCTTAATTTTTGGAAATGTTCTAAACACTCGACAATGGGTAGCTTCTATTTTAATTTTTACAGCTCTTATTTTAGATGCATTATTTGGTAAGAAAAAATTAATTATTAATAAGACTGAACCAGTAATAAAAGAAGAGTCTACAATTAAAGAAAACGTACCAAAAGGAGTCGCATGATCACAATTTTTACAAGACGGCACAAATGCTTTTGTATTTCAAATCAAAATTGGCAAAAAATGACCAAAATTTTTACTGCATCCACTTGTGCTGATATCTAATTTTATTGATACTTCCTCAAATAAAAAAAGGAATAATACCTAGATACAAAGTATCAAAAAGAAATTATGCAAACATTAGCACTTAAAAGTTTTTGAAAATAAAGTTCTTAAAATTTACATTTGTTTTCTATTTTCATTTCATAGTACTTCATTAAACATTAAACTCTTGAACTTTCAGCAAGTACAGTATACATTTTTTTAGAAAAATCATTTTTAAACCAATTTCTTTAATTTTCTATCCAAATAATTGTATCAACATGAAAAAATATTTGTCGAATATTAAGCTTGTTGAAAGTCATCTGAGAAATTAGAGAAAACAAAATTTGTTTTCGTCAGTACAATCTCGGGAATTCCCTTTTTTTCAGAAAAGTTGAAGTTTTTTTAAACAAACTTTTATGATGCATTAAAAAAATCCTCTCAATTATATGAAGATTGTCTCATATAAAACTAGTGTATCCCAATTCGGATGTATTCACACCGTACCATCGAAAATCTTGTGGGTAGACCAAGCTTCGCTCAGCATATGTTTGAAGGTTCAAAGTTAAACAGACAGCATAATGTGTACAAACATCAAAGTTTGGTAAATTTATTTCATTCAAGTTATTTTTTACTTTTTTCAAAGCAACGGCTGTTCCTACATTGTCCAAAAAATACAGCTCTTCTATAGGGAAGCACAGATTAGCAGAAAGTGTATTTTGTGGCAATTCCTCAACCAATTTGAAATCTGTTTTTTTTTTTAAAAAAAAAATTTCAGCTCACATTTTTCACGTAGAACCTTTTTCAGACAAATTTTCTGCGTTCCCACACAAAATGCGAAATACTGAGTCTTCAATCGGAACAAAAACAATAAATGCACACGTGAATAAGGTGTGAATATAACAAGTTAAAATTCCTTTTGTGGATTCAAAAGTTGTGTGTCGTGTAAGTTGATTAATTTATTTTTTGATTTTAACATCAAATCAATTGTGGTTACAAAAGGCTGCAAAAGGAATATATTTCTTAAGCACTTTTAATAAGTATTTAATTTATGCATCGAAACTTTTGTTTTATAAAAATGAGATTAAAAATGAGAGGAGAGAGATCTTTAGTTTCAAGCTGCGATCACCATGATGAAACCAGTTAAATTATAGACGTCGTTTAGTGCACATTTCAGTTTTTGTTTTGAAATATTTAATTAAGAATTATTATGTTATCAATTAATGAACAGTTCAAATTAGTTGGGCTATCGTTAGGGATTTTTGCTAGCTATAGTATCATGGCTCTTTATCAAGAAAAAATTTTTAAGAATGATTACGAAGGAGAAAAGTTTGTTTATCCAACAACATTTGTAGCTCTTCAATGTTTGGTTTACTTTGTTACCGCAAAAGGTGAATTATATTTTAAAAAATTATTCTTATTCGTAATTTTAATTATAAAACAATAATTCTTATTTCCAGGAATTATGATGACCCATGATCATCCAATAAATGAAACGCCTCAAATGTATTATTTTATTGTTGCTTTGTTCTACTTATTGGCCATGACGACCTCAAATATGGCTATTCAGTATATTCCTTACGTGGTTCAAGTTGTTGGAAAAGGCTCGTAAAAATTTTGAACAATCATTTAAATTTTGAATCTCATTAACTTTAAATCAGTTTCATTATATGCAACTTTGGTTGCAATTGGTTTGAAAAAACAATAATGAACCCCCCTCCTCTCTTGTACCTTCAAATCATATAAACAAAGGGATGTCAGAAGTTTTCTGATCTCTTTTTGTTTTTAAAAATTTGCATAACATAATTTTTTCTTGTTTTCCACAGCTTGTAAACCAATTCCTGTGATGCTATTCGCTGTTTTGATAGTAAAAAAGTCTTACACTATTCAGAAATATTTCTTTGTTTTGATGATCGTTTTTGGAGTTGGTCTATTTATATACAAGGACGGTGTAAATTCATCACAAGAAACATTATGGGGATATATGCTTATATTGATAAGTCTGTTATTTGACGGTTGTCTCGGTGCAGCTCAAGATAAAATGAGAATTGTATCAAGACCATCATCACTGAATTTCATGTACTATGTTAATGCTTGGAGTACGTTAATATTTATTCCACTATTGTTTATAAACTATGAAGGTTGGAGATTTGTACAGTTTTGCATTAAGCACTATGAAGTTGGTTATTATATGGCTATTACTGTTTTAATGGGAACAGCTGGTCAATATTTTATATCAACGATGATATCAACTTACGGTTCATTACCATTAGCTATAGTAACTACTTTAAGAAAATTCTTAACAATTTTATTTTCATCCTTAATTTTTGGAAATGTTCTAAACACTCGACAATGGGTAGCTTCTATTTTAATTTTTACAGCTCTTATTTTAGATGCATTATTTGGTAAGAAAAAATTAATTATTAATAAGACTGAACCAGTAATAAAAGAAGAGTCTACAATTAAAGAAAACGTACCAAAAGGAGTCGCATGATCACAATTTTTACAAGACGGCATAATAAAACTATAGATTTTTGTTTTCCTATGCAACCTGAATTGCTTTTTGATTCTGTATACTCTTTGTAGCTAAAAAGACACTTCTCAATCAGAAAAATGTAATTTTGAAAAACAGTCATTGGAATAGTGCAACAAAAAAGCGTTTTTTCAAAATTTGTGTAAAATTTGAATTTATAAAATATGTAATTGCTGTTCTTTAATTACGACCCGGGTTTGATCCCAGATAATTTCTGGTCAGATTTGGGTGCTTTTCTCGCTGTTTTAGTCATGGCAACTCGGTTTGTATAATTTGAAACGTGAAATACTTTTCCAAAAATTATTTTATTGGCTTATTTTAAAGGTTTTTATCCAAGAAATCAGAATTTATTTTAATTTTTGCCCAAAGTGCAGCAGTGCTGAAGATATAGCCCGAAATGTGTTTTGATGACCTTCGATAGTTAATATTTTCAATTTATCAGAATTTTTTCTTGTCTCAACCAATTTTCTTGAAACTTTTTTTTTAAATGACAGATATAAGCCGAAACTTTAATATAAATATCAGTAATACGGCACACTTTTTTTGAGTATGTAGATTTCTGATGCATTTAAATGTTTTTCTTTTTTCATTAAATTGTATCCCTTAACTAGATCTACAAGAAAAATATCCCTTTCAAGGTTTAAAATTATATTTATGCATCAAAAAATTGATTTTTTTTTTAAAAAATATGCGTTTTTTTTCTATGTTTTGATTATTGAGATTTCATATAGTTTTGAGCAAAAATGGGAAGCATGGTTCTTGACACATCTCTAATTTTGAGTAATTTTTCAGTTTTTTCAACATTATTTAGGGTCATTGTACTCATATATAACATATTATATATCGTTGGAAAGGTAATTTAAGCAGCTCAACATAAAAGATAATACAAATACTTTTTGTTAAGCTAATAGTGTATTTAAAGGTCATTTACATCTCATTGAAAATGGAAAATTATGACATATCAAATAAAAATGGTCAAAGTCCATGCCAAAAACTCAAATTGATTTAAAACATCAAAAACACTTTTTTCTAACATTCCTGAAAGTTTTATCAAGTTTGGGCATGATTTTGAATTAATGCTGTTTTGGCATTAAAACTTGTCTATCCACTCACTTGGAATATGCAGTTATAGTCAGTTGAAGTCAAAGCATAGTTAAAAACCGTATATTTTTTTTGAAAAAATCTCAATTTTTTGATGTATAAATATAAATTTAAACCTTAAAAGGGATATTTTTCTTGTAGATCTAGTAAAGAGCTACAATTTAATTAAAAAGGAAAAACATTTAAATGCATCAGAAATCTACATACTCAAAAAAAAGTGTGCCGTATTACTAACATTTGAAGTTTCGTCAATTTTTAAGCACTTTTCATGAAGTAAAACTTATGTGACTGATATTTATATTGGGCCCGACGAAAAAAAATTATTCGTGAGTGACGCTTTAAAATTTTAAATATCTCTGAAACCACAATAGTGACAAATTTCAAAGTTATTTAATTTTGTAGGAAACAAAAATTTCTATCTTTTGACTTACAACCTACTTCCTAAAGTTAAGCAGTTATTCTAAAGCATTTTTGGTTTCGATCATAGTAGGCTATTTTCAAAAAATATCGATTTTATATCTATATTAGCATTCTTTATCATTTATAATACCTAGATATGTTTTAAAATGCAATTTAAAGCATTTTTGGTTTCGATCATAGTAGGCTATTTTCAAAAAAAAATATCGATTTTATTTCTATTTTAACATTCTTTATCATTTATAATACCTTTATATGTTTTAAAATGCAATTTAAAGCATTTTTGGTTTCGATCATAGTAGGCTATTTTCAAAAAAATATCGATTTTATATCTATATTATCATTCTTTATCATTTATAATACCTAGATATGTTTTAAAATGCAATTTAAAGCATTTTTGGTTTCGATCATAGTAGGCTATTTTCAAAAAAATTATATCGATTTTATATCTATATTATCATTCTTAATCATTTATAATACCTAGATATGTTTTAAAATGCAATTTAAAGCATTTTTGGTTTCGATCATAGTAGGCTATTTTCAAAAAATATATCGATTTTATATCTATATTAACATTCTTTATCATTTATAATACCTAGATATGTTTTAAAATGCAATTTAAAGCATTTTTGGTTTCGATCATAGTAGGCTATTTTCAAAAAAAAATATCGATTTTATATCTATATTAGCATTCTTTATCATTTATAATACCTAGATATGTTTTAAAATGCAATTTAAAGCATTCTTGGTTTCGTTCATAGTAGGCTATTTTCAAAAAATATCGATTTTATATCTATATTAGCATTCTTTATCATTTATAATACCTAGATATGTTTTAAAATGCAATTTAAAGTATTTTTGGTTTCGATCAT